ACAGTTTTCAGCCTTATCTGTTATTTTGTATTATTTAGATTGAAACATAAACCAAATATTACAGGTTTCATAATTTAGGTAGGAAAACCGGATACGGTAATTTAATGAGATAAAATGGATCGCAGGACAGCTGTAATAAGGGTAGAAAAAAATGGGGGATGTTTTTTGGTGAAGATGAAGTCAGCACTCAACTAACAAAACACTGGTTGATAACAAGCTGCACACGCTAAGCTGGAGTCCACTTCCCCATCGACTCCCAGACATCGGCTTCTGCGGTTGGGTCTGAAATTTATGCCTTACACCGTGGTTATGTCAGAATTATACCTAAAAACAGAAAATCACTTATTATTGATCTTCGAGCAATATAGTTTTAAAAATAACATAAAGACGTAGTTGTTAAATGTGATGTTACTCGTGCAGCAGGTGGAGCCGCTCTGCTGGACAAACTATGCATTTACACAATTTTGCTTATATTCGCCTTGCAGAAGTGATTTGGTCAAATGAAGATCACAAAATAAAATACTAAAGAAAAATTTAATGCATTTTATTCTGATTTAAGTTTCACATAGTTTATAGTTTTCACAACTTTATTAAGCAGATTGCATTCCCAAATTTGACCATAAAAAAACTTAAATTAAGGACATTTTCCCTGTATTTTAATTTTTTTCTAGTTAGTTTGTTCAGTTATTTTTCTTTGCTAAACCTTACTTTTTAAAAATTGCATTTCAGTTAACTAAAATGTTTCCCCAAATGTAGTTGTAGTTTCTATTTTAGTTAGTAACATTCACCTACTGACCTATAAATTAACACAATCATTATTGTAGCATTTAAAGATATATATAGAATGGAGATGTTGGTTCCCTTTTTTAAAACTCTTTTAAAGCACTTTTTAAAAGTGAAATTTAAAACAACGTATATTAACATTGGGTAGCAGACACAGCAGCTGCTCTCATTAAAGCACTAATATGTCTAGTCTTTAAGGATCCATCACATCATGTTTTAATAACGAAGAGTAGAAAAAGACTAAATGATGAAATATCCCATGTTTTTGTATAATATTACATTTGTCGTTTCCTGTGAAAACTTTGCTATGTGATGTGAATTTTATGAGTCACATGGACCCTACAGCATAAGTATATTTAATAGCTAATTCTGAAAGTTACCAAAATTAATTATAGTCATACAAATCATTACATAATGTATCATTAACAAGTGTTAACTGTGCTCTCAATAATTGTGGCATTATGCTCAGTTTCTGCATATTATTCTTAAGACTGAAACACCATAAACATCACATTTTCTGTGTTTTCCTAAAGAGACGTTTTTTGCTTTAAGCCTATTTTTAAAATGAGCATCATTATCTTGAAACAGCGTTGTTTGGAGAGTAAAGCGAATAGGAAGGAGTTCGTACGAACACCCGCCACAAATACATGCGTTACTGTATGTGTTATTTCAGTAAGAGAAAATACTGACAATTGTTTGTTTAGATCTGGGTCAGTGTCAAAATATGTGCATGAACAAAACAGAACGCAGCAGGATAGGTGGCGCATGCCAATTTGTAAAAACACAGAAGATCCTGACACAATAGCAAATGTTCTATTTTGCAATGCCTAGTAATGCTTCAAAAAAAGAAAACACAGAGCACTGAAAACACAACCTTTCTGTTAGAGGTAAAACTGAAACGCGATTATATAAATCATGAAGCCATCTTTAAAAAAACAAAACAGAATTTAAATCAAGATTTTGGTTTAAAAACAATCTTTAGAGTCACTTTTAGGTACTTTTCTATAACCCTCTGTAAACACAGTGACTTCTGCAACACAAGAGGACATTTTCCCTCTGGCTGTGTAACGTGTTTATTTTGGGATCGGTTCAGCAGACAACAGAGCTACCTGGCATGGTGACCCAAGCTGGAAGAGCTGAGGGTTGAGGTTGAAGCAGCAGCAGCAGCAGCTCTAAAACATGAGGAAATGCCTGTTAGTTGGGAGCCTACTAATGGAAAAAAAATGTAACTTTTTGGGGTTAAAAAAAATGACTCAACAGCAGGAGGGTGTAGGTGGCAGGGTGAAGGTAGTAGGTAGAGACACTGCCAGAACCTGGAAAAAAAGTTTTCAAGTCTCTGATCAACTGAATAGTTTAAAGGTAAGCTTAGAGTGAGTGCTGTCAGAACTGGACACATTAATTTGTGTTTTAGACATTTAATTATGTTTGTGTTCCTGGTGCAGTGTCTTATGCGTTTTATGTAATTCTGTTTTTAGTTAATGGTTTAATTTACAAACATTAAAAGTGTAGGTTTCATAAACTGCTTTTTTTTTTTTTTTTTTTTTCCAATAATCAAATTTATGGCCAGAATATCTTTATCTAGATAAATAACTTCTTACTAATCTAAATCTTGTAAAATCCTTTTTTTCATCGATTCCCAGATGTTAAAGTTAATCGTCACACCTGGAGATTAGCTGCTCCAATCATTTTTATTAGAATTTAATGGATTTGGACCATTTTTAACTCAGTTGGTTCAGAGACCTGGAAATGTCTGAAAACATCAGGTTAAACCACAAAACCAAGGGAAATGTTCCCTTTGTTGAATCTTGATCTAAAACTTGGGACTGAATGGGTGAGTTGTAATTTTGTTTGCTTTTTCTTTTTTAAAACCATTTCTGATTCTAGTAAATATTTTGACAGTTTTATTTATGTAAAGCTCTCAGATTATAGTTTGTGTATTGCCAAATATACTTTTTTTATTTTTTATTTTTATCTCCAGTACCCTTGAAATATTTATAATATTTAGTCCAGTATTCTTCTTTCTTCACTTGTTTCCACTGTTTGAGGTAATCTGAACTAATATCCACCCCAATCTTTGTACAGCTTTTCTCTCCATCTTGGCTTGCTCGTGTATTTTTTTTCTTTCCTGCTACAGACCATTTTGTTGTAGCCTGACATTTATTAGAATCAGGCATTGCAAAAGTTGAAATAAACGCCAGCTGTCGAAGTGTATTACCCACTACTTAGACTGTGCTGTTCATTTCAATATGTGAAACCACAAGAAACTGTGGAAAATGTGTCACACTGCTCTGGTTTTAACAGAGATTATTGGTGTTGTCACAATGATAGCAAACAGAGATCAATTAGATTTCAAGGAACCGTATACATGTTTAATCAAAGCCACAGGAAATGTGCTGATATGAATGTCTAGCAGCATCTGAAAGCATGAACATTCAGTAAGTGTTAAAAAAATGCAAGTAAAGTAAATGTCAGTGTGTTTCCCCTAATATTGCTGTGAGCTGATGTCCCACCCTAAAGTGGTGTTGAACAGTAGTTCTCCAGGCTTTCTGAAGGTCTTTCCAAGTCTGTCATTTGTCACTGGCTGTTTTTTTCACTCATTTTCCTATCCAGTCCTGACGAGTTTTAGAGGAACCTTTTTTTGTTTGTTTGTTAAGCCACTTAACACTGTTCATTCAAGCATAAAAAGCACCTAACTCAAGGGATGGTCCAGCGTTGTGTCTACATATTGTATAACAACTTACAAAGAATCCATTGTAAATTGTATATTTAGGCACTAACAGCCTGTACAAAATTTTCTTTAGGTGAATCTACTAAAAAAAAAGCCAAAGATAGGTTTTACAGACATAAGAAAAAAGCTGTTAGCTGAATACTTAGGGTATCTCAGAATGCCATCTAACATGTCCTTAAGAGATTTGAAAAAAGACTAGCATCAGTGGCAGTCCAGTGCCTTTAAACTGCATTTCCATTTATGTTTGCAGATTTCTCAGAAATTGGTGCAATTATTTCACCATTTAAAATGTAAAGAAATGAGGGGTGGCCTTTGCTTGGTACCGTAGTTAAAGACAAAATCCGCCTTCTGCAATGCCGACAAAAAAGTTTAGCATGTTAGAACATTTATTTCCATAGTGCATAGAGCACAAGGTAAGTGAGAGATATGCTAACAGACAGTCTAAGTCAGGGGTGTCCAACTCCAGGCCTCAAGGGCCAGTGTCCTGCAGGTTTTAGATATCACCCTGGGTGATCACCTGGGATATCACACCTGAATCCAATGATTAGTTCATTACCAGGCCTCTGGAGAACTACAAGACATGTTGATGAGGTAATTTTGCCATTTAAATCAGCTGTGTTGGCTCAAGGACATGTCTAAAACCTGCAGGGCATCGGCCCTTGTGTTAGGTGTGGCTGTGTGCAGGCAGGAATAGGACCCAAGGTGCAGACTCCGGAGACAGACGTGAACTCAAAAAGGCTTTACTTTGGTACTCAAAAATATAACATAACTGAAAAAACTCAAAACAAACTTAAACTGGAGGAATGACAGAACACACAGCTAGGAAACAGTAGATCGCGACACAGACACAGAGAAACACTGGGCTTAAATACACAGAGGGAGCAATCAGGGAATGGGTAACAGGAGGGAAACACAGCTGGGGCAAATCAGGCCTAACGAGACAAGAGGAAGCAAAACCAGACACATTAACATCAGACATGGACTTTCAAAGTAAAACAGGAAACACATAACACAGACTGAACAAAGACACAGACTCATATGCAGGCACTACAAAGGGAACAGAGACGTGGGAACAGGGCAGACACAAACACTGACTGAACACGGGGATATAGGAACTTAGGATACACATAGACGCGAACTAGACAAGGGGATGCAGGTGATAGGGGAGACAGAGCAACTAAAGAAGACAGAGACATAAGCCATAAGACAGAACTCAAAGAAACCAAAAACTAGGAAGTATAAATAATATCAAAAACTCAAAAACCCTGGGTCGACGACCCAGGCATCCTAACACCTTGAGGTCTGGAGTTGGACACCCCTGATCTAAGTAATCTAAGTGGTGTTAAAAATGACATGATATGAGTGATCATTTATCTAACACCAGACCTGGATCTGCTAAAATATGATCTGAACCCAGCACAAGATGGACTTTTTTGGTATGTTTTTAAAAAAATTAAAAAGTGATTGGTTGATGCTTTTCTATTCACAGTCGTGTACATCTGTGGGCCCTTGGAGACGTTTATGACCATCATGGAACAGTTTCAGAATGATATCCAGGACCCAGAAAACTATGCTATCTTCTATCTGGATGTGTTTGCTGAGATCTTGGCAGATCGCAAACCGTGGCAGAAAGCTGACTGGGCTGATCCCATCAAGGTTTTTAAGGTAAAATGAACACATACCTTTTTATGCTTGGATTTATTAGATGCGGCAATCACTGTTTCATTTGCTTTGCTATTGGAAATCACACAAGACCGCCATTTGGCATGGGAAATGGTAATCTCGCTTAATTGAGTGGCATTACCATGTTTCAGTTACTGTGTCCATTGGGCTGAGTAAACTCAACATGGCTGTGGAAATTAAAAAGATGTGAAGCTTTTATGGTAATGACAGACATGTAGATGAAAGACTTGAATAAACTCTTACAAGCTGGTAAGATTGGTTCATCTTACAAAGTTGAACCAATTTGGTCTCTTCAGTCTCAGATGACATTGTTACACTTTGACCACTTTAAAGAGGGAAATTCTTGACATTAATGAATCGGGGGATGTGTTTTTACAGGAGGCCTTTTAGCCCTATAAATGAGTGCACTGAGAAATAAGAAAGTAGTCACAAATGTGTCAGTTGACTAATTTATCCCCCTAAATGTCACACTGGCTCCCCCTAATTCTCTTAATGAAGCATTTTCAGTAGTTTTGAAGCAGAGTAGCCTTTGTAAAATAAATCTTGCATAATAAATAGTGGATTAAGACATAATGTACAGCATATATTTGCCTAAATTCCCAATAATAAGGTAAAACATTAACTTTGAATAGCTGGAAAATGTTTTTGTAGAAGATTTAATAATGAAAGGAAGTGCTTGTTTTGCAATGTTGAAACCATGAACTGATAAACACTCTGTGTCTCTATCTGTTCATCTGAATCTGAACTTCTTCTAACCTTCTGAGCTGTAAAGCCACATTTTTGGATCTGATATTTTTCATCATGAAAGGTGTTAATTTGTCTGCATGCCGTAACAGGTCTCATTATCGCAATATGCTTCCTTCACAGCAATAATTGCTTGTGGAAGTTTGTGGTAGGTCTCCAGTAACTGTTGTAACATGAAAACCAAGCTGTAGAATTTCCAGATAAGAGCAAAAAAAAGAACTTGTTTTTTTGCGAAAAACTTGTTTTGGTGACTAGTGTATCGACAGAATGAAAGGTCAGTAAAGGTAAATATTTGCACTGAAACGTCTGGGTCAAAATTTGATTGCTAGACTAAAGGTCTCTCTCAGCATTTGTGCCTGCAGAGCAGTTTGTATTGAACCAATTTTCGAAGTCATTAAAGAAGTAACAACACATTCTATCAGGCTGTATTTGTAATTGCGCGACGAATTATAAGACCAATGGTGTTTTTATGTTTTTTCGAAACACATATTCTACACTGGAGAGGGTTTTGTCTAAGCAGCTGCTTTATTTTAAGACCTGCTTTTCACTGAATAAAGTGTGAATTAGTCACCAGAGTGAGGGATGAGTTGCTGACAAAGGTGTGAGGAGAGTAGTTCAGTTATGTTGGAGTCTAGGTTGAAAATGGGTGGATGGATGAAAAACAGGCCTTTTAAATTTTTGTTAGTTGCTTAATACAAATAAATAACTATGTATAATAAGCATACATGTATTTCATTATATTTGATGTTTAAGTTGGTACCTTGTTTTAAAACAGCGATAACCGTTTCTTGAATATTTTGCAAGTCTTTGTGTTTTGTTGGAGGTTGTTGAAGTAGCTCCCTTCTTGTTTAGTTGTTGGCTGTAACGTATTCTGAATACTTTTGATTACTTAATATATTATCATGCTGTTTACAACTACATGAATGTGATTTATTACTATTACTGAAGGTCCGCGGCTCCAAACCATAGTAAAGGGACCTCGGACTGATACGGTGGGTTTGTGTCGGGCTCGTAGCTGAAAACTAGCTTTACTTTGTTGTCTGGGTCAACTTTGCTAGCAAGAGACAGAGAGAGGCTTTGAAAGGCTGCTCCAACGGAACTTATTGTTTCGGAGGAAAACACGAACACAGCATACAGTCGAGTCTTAATAGCTTACTTACAACTGGGCTTGTCAGGCACTCTTCTTGGCTGCAGTGGTTATTATTATATTTACATGCTTCCAGCTTCCGTTTCTGCTCGATGACAGCTTGTACTTTTCCACTCTCCTTTTTCTCCCTCCTCCCGCTCACAGACACATAATGGGTATGGCAGTCCATTCTCCCTGCAGCATGGACTACACTGCCCATGATGCTACATTCTTTAGGGCTATGCCTGTAGCATTCTGCCTATTAGCTTAGCATAACAACAACAACAAAAAGGAGGTCTCTCACACCCAGGAAACACACAGTCGCAGAGAGAGCGTCACCCTGTAACCACGGCAACCATAACGCTGCGCTGCCGCCTGGAACAACAGAACATAACTGTCAAACAAAACCCAAACAGGCCTGACCCGCGACAATATGAAACAGGAAAGTACCGCCGTGTAATCCATTTATTCCAACAAAGTAACTGTATTCTAAATACCACCTTTTTAAACGGTAACTGTAACGGAATACAGTTACTCATATTTTGTATTTTAAATACTGTAGCGGGTCAGGGCTATTCGGGGTTCTGTTTGTGATGTTTTGTTTATGTTACCATAGTGATGGGTGACGCCCTCTGGCTGCGACAGTGTGTCCTTCCGGGGTCAGAGGGCGCCCTGTGTGTTGTTGTTGCTGTGCTGTTGCCGCGCTGAGCAGTTAGCTAGCGGCAGTGTTCTTCTGCAGATGTCAATAAACGGCTGTGCTCCCTGGCTAGCTGACGGGAAGCAAGACCAAACGATACCTCCATCTCCTCCTTGTCTGAGCTCGCCACATTGGTGTCAGAAGTGGGATAGCTCACCCTCGCCGTAATGGAGAGAGACATTCAGAGGCTGGAGCAAGCTGTCGAGGAGAACATTCCCCGCTTGGGAAACTGGCGATTGAAGAGAGAGGATGTGAGCGGCCATGTAAGTCCCCCGACGGGTCCCGATGGCGCGAGCGCACCGCGGCGGCGACCCGTCGCGACAGATGCTAGGGCAGTGCTTCATGGGCTACCTCTGTTGACCCACACGCCGAGCCCCCAACTGCGAGCAGTCATGCCTACCACGCCAGTTAATGTACCGAAATACAACGGGCTAACCCCGCTAGAGCCCTACCTCTAACAAGTGCGTCTGGCCGCCAGACATAGTGGCTGGAGCGAAGAGGAGACTGCTACGCACCTAGCGCTAGCATTAGAAGGAGATGCACTGCAGATACTCCTTGACCTAACCCCGGCAGAGCAGCATGAGCTCCAGGCCCTCACTGCGGCACTCGAGAGGCGATTCGGGCAGCGGCACTCCACTGATCAGAGCAGAGAGCAGCTGACCAACCGGAGCCGCCGACCGGGAGAGAACCTGGGGACCTTTGCAGCAGACGTGTTGCTGTATGCTCGTCGTGGCTACCCGGAGTTTCGAGCAGCAGCCCGTGAGGAGCTTAGCCTGCATGCTTTTCTGCAAGGACTTTTCCCAGAGCGACTACGCCAACACGTCCGCCTGGCCATGCCTCAGACCCTCCGTGAGGCGCTCCTTGAGGCTGAAAGGGCCGAGCCGGTGCTCACCTCACGACCTAACCAGCAGGCGTCCCCCCCAAACTACCCCCAAATCAGAGGGGGTCGCCGAGATGTCCCAGCTGCAACCCTCGGTGCCCCGGAAGCGTCCTCGTCGACCGACCAACCGCTGCTACCGGTGCGATGAGCCTGGCCACGTGGCGCGTGACTGCCCAGCACCATCTCCGAATACCAGAACTACGCAGCCTCAGGGAAACGAGGAGGGAGCGGTGTAGCGAGGGGACCACCGCTCCAGCTTCCTGCCCCCCTCCAAGGACAATGCACAGTGGTGGGCCGAGTTGGGCACCTCAAAGGACTCTACCTGAGCTGCTGTGTTAAGGACCAGCCATGCCAGGCCCTGGTGGACACGGGGTCTACCATTTTCCTGATACGACCTGGCGTGCTCCCTGAAACATCCGGGCCACTGGTGAAGGGTTGGTTGCCCACAGACACCCAGCTGATGACAGTGACGGGGGAGAAAACTGTTATGCGGGGGAAGAAACCGTTGCAGATCCGAGTGAAGGGTCTAGAGCTGGTGCACGACTTCTGGCTCGCCGACATTCAAGACCAGTGCATCATTGGCCTGGATCTGCTGAGCCGCTGGGGGGCCTGCGTCGACACTGCGAAGCTGGCTATCACTCTTGGCGCAGAGACTTTTGCCCTCCAGCGCGGCCAAAAGCAGGGAGCGGGGACCAGACGAGACAGGCGTCGGGCAGCTGCTGCTCAGCAGATTTCGGATGCCGGTGGCTCCGGGTCATCTCCACTCACCTCAGCCTCTCAGCCCGACAAACCTCCTTCGACCGAGACCATCGAGGCTGTTGATGACCTTTGGCAGCAACAGCGTAGGCCTCAATGTCGACCAGCGCCAGCGTTCGAGGTGCCTCCTGGACGAGAATGTGCACATCTTTGCCGCCAGTCACAAAGACTGTAGGCAGACGAGTCTGGTCCAGCACACCATCGACAGCGGCTCTGCTCAGCCCATCCGTCTGCGCCCACACCGGCTGCCCCTCTC